TTGCCTGGAATATGCCGCTTATACTGGTCTGTTGGTTGGCATTGACAGCATAAGACCCCTCAGGTCGATGGTTCGAACCTCTTCTAGCACAAGTAGCCTTAAGAAGATGGTAAAATTGTTAGACATATTAGAGGTGGTTGGAAGCATGTATAATAATCCCTGATCATATATATATATATAACCTTAGTACTATAGAAAAATATTAGTACAATATTAGTATATACTATAAAGAATCTTAATAGTACTAGAAAGAGGACTAGAACACTTTTATTCTTTTTTACTATAAAGCTATAAAGATTAAATCTTCTAATTTAGACTCTAATTTACTATAATATACTAAATATACTGAGAATAGAAATAGAATCTCTAAGATTCAATTAGTAAAAATTAGTAAATATAAATTGAGTAAATATAAATAGTAAATATAAATATGTAAATATAAATATAAAGAATAAATATATATATATATAATATAATATTATGAAGATAAATATAAAAAAACTTAAATTTGAATATATTTTATTATATTTACAAATTTCTTTAAGGAAAAAGTCTAGAGTTGGTGAGTGTCGGCCATTATGAAAATTGTATGCTAATAAAAACTGACTCTTAAAATCACAACAAATAGTAGTTTGCCACGTGGATTTTAATGTAACTTGGCATGTGGTTGGGTAGGGTGAACAGTAGGATTGGGGGCAGTAGAATCATCTGATGGAAATTGCTGCCATTGAGAAAGTTAACTGATTTTTATTCCGTAATGATTGGTAGAGAAAGCGGTGGCCAAGCCAAAATGTCATATTTGTTACATTTACATAAATATCACTCTAACTTTATATATTTACATATGTAGCTCTAAAACTTTATTTTTATAATTTAATTGTCAAAATAGTCCCGAATTATTTAGATCGGCTCTTTTATCCCATTATTTTAAAATTAAATTTTTTTATAATTATCTATAGAAATTATTAAAGCATCAATTTGAAGAACTCGGGATTATTTATCAGTTATATAAATTCTGAGACTAAAATGACTTCATATAAATAGTCACAATTTACTTCTATTTGCAAGGTGATACGTATCTAACCCATAAACTCTTTATATTTATAACCCCTAATCTTTCATATCATATCAAAAATGCTATCATTTTAACTTTTCTATAAGTTCAAGCAAATAACTGCAGCGTATATTGACATTTATGTTGTTAGTAAATGGTTAAAGCATGCATCTAAATATTATGATTTTTTTTCTAGATAAGATCAAACGTCTAAAACATGTCTTGCACTACAGGAAAAAAGCTTTAAAACTGACAGGAAAATCGAGAATTTTTTATATGTCGAAAAATTATTTTAATTACCGACGATTTTACAACTGTTTTTAATCTTGGATGTTTGTGACGGCATAACTACAACATATATCAGCGCATATTGATAGTATTTTATCTTCAGACTATTTTTAATTATAATCGATGGAATAACCTATTGGTTATAAATAAATATTAATCGATGGCTATAGTTCGTTGGTTATCTTTGAACCCGCAATCTGACAGATTTTAACTAGCGCTTTTTATTATTAAGCAGCTGAAATGACAGTCGGCAATTGTTTTAGAACAAATGTATAAAAGTTATTCGTAAGCCGTCAAAATTAATCATCTGTCTCGCTCGAAATCACATCCCTCCCGGTCTTGTCGTAATCTCTCCTTCACACCCTCATCTTCTCTACTCGAAGCCCTCGCCTGTCCCTGAAACTCTCGCATGTCCCTCTCTGTTTTGTCCAAAACCATCTCTTCGTCCTCGAAACCCTTGCGATACAGTCAAAATTGAAGCAAGCTAGGAACGCAACGGCGAGATCTTGGCTTACAGTGACGTAAAACTCCCATTTTTCCTTATTTTCGCTTCTCTGCTACCCGAAACGACAGAGGAAGGTAACCAATTATCTTTATCTTCTTTTTTATTTTCATTTGCTTTCAAGAATGCGTTTAGGATTTAGGGTTTAACAACTACGAGGTTTGCCAAATATTTTTCTAATTTAGTTAGATTACTTCTAGGGCTATGAATTTAGTTTGAACACCATTAATCTCTCGATGGTTGATTCAAATTTTAGCTCAGATCGAAATAAACGAGATGAGCTGCGAGCCAAAATTTTGGATTGAATTTTTTTCGAACTAATTTTGAACCAACCCCAATTTAACTTGAAATTAGATCGTTAACAACATATGACTGTGAAATTAACGAATTTAGCTCAAATATTGTTAATTGCTCAAAAAATTGATTTGAATTTTGGGTTAGATTGAAATAAACAAGCTGAGCTACGAGCCAAAATTTTGGATATAATTTGCTTGGAACCGATTTTGAGCCGACCCCAACTTGGCTCGAAATTGAATCGTTAACAACCTTAATTGTATCAACGATCAGCCTTAAGCACATATGCTTTTGCTTTATTTATGGATACTCTTAGTAAACATTTACAAGAGAATGCACCCTGGTGTATGCTTTTTGACAGTGATATCCTTCTTGTGGATAAGATTAGAGAAAGTGTTTAAGAAAAACTTAAATTATGGAGACCAATATTGGTGTCTAAAGTCCTTTGTTTGAGTAGATTTAGAGCTTAATACTTGAAATGTAATTTTAGTAGTAGCAGCTCCAGTGACAGAGTTGTAACTAGGGGGTGATCAAATCATTTAAAAGATGTGAATGTTCAAGATATCTCAGGTCTCTTGTTCAAAGTGAGAGTGATATAGATGAGAATGTGCTTAATTAGTAAATTTTAAGTTGGTTGGTTGGAACCTGCATCATCTCGGCTCGAAGTCGGATCGTTTTACATTTTTATATCTGAAAAATGTCATGATTAATTATTTCAATGATATTTCAATGTATAAATAATTTATTTGTGGATTCGTTAAGTTTAGTTGAAGACGTTTTACAATTAAAATGGACATATTCATTCCTCAAAGCGGAACGGAGCGAAGCGGAAGTATCAATCTAATTGGGAGAATTTCGTTAAGTGAGTTGAGGTTGCGGGGGTAACGCCCCCGCTGTAGGGTATAGGATAGTTTTGTAATTACAACAAAAGTTTATATTTATATGAATATATTTATATTTATATATTGTATTTGTAACCCTAAGGAGATTAACTCACACTTCATACGATCCCGAAAACGTAAGCATATTTCCGAACCTTTTTTTTTACGGTTTACTATTCTTGATTCTTGTGATTCTTTGCCCTTTTTTTCTCAACAATGGAGCTTAAGATGAAGAGAAATCATGGCTTTGTGGTGCTTAAGAAAACGAGAAGGAGATGACGATGGAGGTGGAGAGGCTTGGTTTGCAGGAGAAGAACGACTAGACTTTGCTGCTCGTCTTCCTCCAAATGAGTGCCGTTATGATTTTACTGAATTTTCTTAGGTATTGATACTACATTGTTTTGGATATTGAGAAGTTGTGCTAATAGAGATACTTCAATGTTTTATTTTAATTTTTTAAATCATGATATTTATCTGGTCTATTATTGTTCATTTTGAGGGGTCTGGATGCAATTTCCTTGTTCTTGAGGGTATTTGATTTATTCAAAGATTTACATAAAGACCGCTCAATACCTATGTACTTACATAGCTAACCTCTAAACTTCAATTTTTTTCATTTATGTCATTTTACCTATGCATGAAATATATATTTCACCTCTTAAAAGTTTAAATAGTGATATTTGGTGTGACATACAAGATTTTAAGTGATAAAAATATAAAAAAATGAAGGTTAGGAGTTAGATGTTTAAATACACGAGTATTGTGTGGCATGTATGCGAAGCCTTTGGTTTATTATGGTGAGAGATAAAAAGGTTTAGGTTGAAATTTCTATTTGGGCATCTTTCTGCTTACATTATATTTCAGACTGTCACCACAATTCTGTTTGAGGAACTATTTCTTTGATGTTTAGGGTTTAATCTCTATTTTTGAAAGTTATTTTTTCAACCTGACATCTGTGCGTAAAAAAATAACTATAAAATTACATTATAATTAATACATGACAAAAAAATAGATTCCACAGATAAAATAAGCTAACATGCACAGGGAATGACCAGGGACATTTTGGCAAAAGCCTTTTCAACTTATCCAACAAACTCACATACTCCATCAGATAGCATAAATACCATAATGAGTCCAACTTAACATATGACATTATTTATAAATTGCAAGGATCACATTCAATTTTATTTGAAATCAGCTAGGAAAATTTACAATTTTGGGTCCTTTTTTCTTTGGTTTTACATCAAAACCTACACTCTTTGCATCCTTTAGCCCGCTGTTTATGTCTTCCAACGCAAAATCATCTTCGAGATCATCCCCGCCATGGAAGACTTTGCGCTCGCCATGCCGAACGGCGTCAAAGTTACCAGCTGAAATTCATCAAGCTTGTATTTTAACTTCTAAAAAGTAAAATATACCTTTTTCATGCATAAGTAAGGTGGTAGGTACATAGGTAAAAAAAAAATTGAAGTTTAGTTGTTAGATATGTAAATACATGCGAATTAAGAGTTATGTATGTAAATCTTCCTAAAAAGATTGGTTTGTCTCCTAATCAAGCATTCATAACCCAATCGTTGAAGAGGATATAAACAATATTGGATGTTAGTCATATATTGATGTAGACATATCATCTATGAGATATAAATGCCATATGTTATAGAAGAAAGCAATTTGAACAATATGTTATCAGAAAGGATGCATCAGCTGAAGAATTTTCACAACAATCAATTCTAAAAAAAACCAATGTAATTTAGTTTTCTTTAAAATGTAAAAATCAGTTCTATATCACATTCCTTAGATTTAAGATTAGCATCTTGAATTTGGAAATGAGATGTATTTCTATCCATTCTAGAAAAAAAATTGATTTAAATTTATCGATCCCTATCGAACTTTTACGAAATAGGGTAAAGTGAAATTTATTGACTCTCTTATTAGAAAATCTTTGTTCAGATGAAAAGGAAAAATGCAGAATCTAATGAGGTTGATGAAGGATACAAGATGCTAGTTTCAGGTCTCATATTTGACAAGAATCAAGACCCCAAATATTTAGAATTCATTTGATACATCCTACATGAATACATCTATCATTAAATATCAAAAATATAAAAAAAAAATCAAAAATACAAATGAAGTTCTTGAGACAAGTTAAGAAATTGCCAAAACAACAAAATAACAATGAATAAATTCAATCACCTAGTAAAATAAGTTTGACTATTCACAAAATAGAAATGTCAAAATAGTCTTCCGACTCTTTGAAGGGAGTCATTTTAATCCCAAAGTCTATAGAAATGCTGATTTAGTCCTAGTTTATTTTAATATGCAAAAATAGGAACTATTCCAGCTCCATTTTAAAGAGCACAAAGATTAATTTGGCACTTCTATAAACCATAGGTAAAACCATATGACACGTAAAAACTCAGCTGACTATTTTGACACTTTACTCATAAAAAAAGACGTCATGAAGTCTAACGTAAATAAAATGACCAAAACATCTTTGGTTAAATACAAACAAAGTTGTCCAAGTCACTTGATCAACAAAACCAGCCACAACAGATTATAACTTCAAGTTTTCCATACAAAGCAAGATGCCATTAGAACATGTAAAGTTACCAAGAAAACAAAGACAGATTTTATCAAGGAAAAGAAGAAAGCTTTAAACAAATAAAAAAGCAGATTGAGTAATAGCACTTACATATCTTGTCTGCTCCGGATGAACTAAGGTGTTTGCCAGCTTTCTTTGGACAATGCTTGGCCAGGTGAGTCACTTCACCACAAATTTTACATGAACCACCCTGAGAAAAATGGAAACTTACAATATCAAAAACTACTTCAATTTATAAAAACAAATAAACCATCATTCAAACATTAACTTTACTTCGCTTTACACATCAGATTTGACAACCATGAAGCCTTTGGCAGAAATAATAAAAAAACTAATTAATACATTAACATATTTGGAAACAACAACAACAAACAAACAAAAAATAAAAAAGGGCATTTACATACATACCACCCAATTCTTATGCATTCACACATCTAAAATCTAAACTTTGATTTTTACATTTATAACCCTCAAATCCTTCATATCACATCAAAAATACCAACATTTTTACTTTAAAAAAAAAGAAATACACATTTTCAGTTATAGGTAAGGTGGTACGCATGTAAAATTGATGTAGGTGTTAAATAAGTAAACTAATAAATTGAGTGGTATGTATGTAAATGAGTCAAAATAAAAATAATAATAAAGAAGCACGGAAACAACAAACAATCGTGAGTTTTTTTAATATTGGACTCATGCTTGTCGGACATTTTGAGATCAAGGACAAAGAAGAATAAAGATAATTTAAAACAAAGTCATGCCAAAATTGCAATTGTAATTGAATTTGACCCGTGTTAAGGCACCAATATGCTATTATTCATATACTAACCTACCATACCAGTAGAAAAAAAAAGGTGGAAATTAGTAGTAACACAATCATCTGCACAAAGCTGGTTAATTTTATGAATTGAGCTTTTGTATAATAATTACATTAGATACGCCAAAAAACTTGAATCATGGACATGTACAATACCTAATAATTTTATGATAAATAGTTCCCGGTGATTTTGGCTTTTTAAATCTTAGTTGTTGGATGGAAATATCACCTAATACAGCGCAAGTTTTGTGACAAAAAAATCCACTCAAACCTATGACATTGTTATTAACAAGGAAGATTAACATACACACCACTCAATTCCTATGTATTTACATATCAAACCCCTAAATATCAATTTTTACATACCTACAACCTTATCTAAAAAGGTGTATTACACTTTTTAAAAGTTTAAATGTCGGTAATTTTGATGCGATTTGAAAGATTTTGGCTGTATAAATGTAAGAAATAAAATCTAGGTGTTAGAAATATAAATTCATAAGAATTGAGTGGCACCCTAGCTGACAAAAAAAAGAAACCAACAGTTAATTAAAAATATATCCACCGATCTGACATGAAACTTGTTATTTTCTTTCCCATTAAGTTTATTAGTTAGTTTATGAATAACACCACAAAGGAGAATACTGATGACGGGATACTAATATATCTCAAAAAGTGAAAAAATAAACACACAAAAAGGTGTTACTCTTCTAAAAGGGGACTAACAAAAGAATTGAAATCTTCATTTATATTAAATTTTCAGGATCTATAGCAAATTGTAGAATCACAATAATAAAAAAGAAAAAGAAAAAAATTGAAGATTCACTTCTGATTATTGTTTAAGTATATAGGAAACTTTAGATATGAAGGAGAATAAGATATTTATAATAGCTTAAAGTAGCGCAAAAGTAGAATTCACGGCAATGATCCATAGGGTTTATGAAGATATATGGCTAAAACGTTTTTCCACCACACAATCTATGATAACGAGGTGTGACAAGCAAACTAACATTAACAATAGTAGGAATACAATCCACCTTTATTGGGGTAAGTATGTTAAAATTGATAGATAATTTATTGAGGAGAAAATTAATTAAAGTATCATCAAAATGAATCACACTCCAATAAAGATTTATTGTTGATATCCTTACTAATGTTCTTGATCAATCAAAATTTGACAACCTTATTTGAAGTTAGGAATGACAAACATAGAGAAGGAATGTAAAATCCTAATCCTATCTCACATTCGCAATCAATAACACCTGCTCCATCAACCTAGTAAGGATCTCCTCCATTAAATGTAATGCCTGCCAGCTTATATGAGATCCACAATCTGCCACCCATAAGTAGCCCGACAATCTGCCACCCGCCAACTATTACAAGTTGAAAATTATACTCAAATAAAAAATATTATGATGTGTCGTCTCACCTATAGCATGATTTCAAAATGTAAAAATAATTCTTCAAAATGGTTCATGTATTTTCAAAATGCATGTATGATTTTTGTCAGATGGAATTCACACTCATTCACTGCCACCTTACTAGTATGTAGGATGCATATTATCTACTCATCAATACGCGTAATTATTATTCTGTTTATTTAGTGATCCATGTATTATTATAATTATAATTTTTTTCTAATAAAAGCTCTTATAGGATAGTATAAATATAACAAAAATATTGGAAGGAATACTCAACCACTTCTCTCTAATTTTTATCATGCTATAAGATCCATAGGCTTTATCTTCCTTGTATTTCCAATATGACAACTTTCATTGTGGTATTACTGTTGACCTCAATTTTCGTGAGGTCTAGTATTCCTCGTAGGAGTTAGGATCTAGCCTTAGGGGTCTTCCTGCGACTATCTTAGAACCTTAGAAGTGGTGCCCGCCTTGTTTTAGTTCGACCTATTTCCGTCCTCTTTTAGAGTTTCGCGTGTGCGGTATCGACTTCTAACACTTAGAAGGATGAAACCGACATGAGGAAACCCA